ATATTTGAAGTCGGTAAATCGCTATTTTATCTTCTCAAATCAGATTTCGGTAAGTCGAATGATGTTTCGATTTTACGTATATTAACGGCATGCTCTTGATGAATATAATATGCACATTATCGGTGTAATATCTCCTACAACAATTAGATCCTTGAATAAAGCGTCCATTAGGAAATTGTAGTGCATGTATGACTTCAAGTGATAAAATTGAGAAATTGCTAGGCAGAAGCAGAGTGATTAGGTTGAACTTTCGTTTGCATGAAATTACATGGAAATTTCTTGGGCCCTCAAAAATTCTAGAAATCCAAGTATTCATAGACAATCACACTTGGCTTTCAGTTCCAAGATCAAACTAATATAATTTTAAAATCATTCATTACTTGTCAAATTCAATCTGAAGTACCCACAATCAGAGCAAAAGAGTTCATTCAATTTAATTTCTCCTTCTCTCAAACTTTGAGCTTGAACCCTAGATTCATGATGTTCAGGTTTGAAATCTGGAAAATTATAAAGTTACGAAGAAAAAAAGAAGTGAGAAAGGAGAAGATTATGAGGGCTCTCATGAAGCACTCTCCTAATCAAAGATGCAACAGCTTGGTATTGACATTTTTTTTTTAATTGGAAATCTCTACCATTTTTGATAACCTTTGTCCATTGAGATAAATAATCAGCGCTTGAAGTCGTTTGAATGCAAAAAATCAGTAATTTCGATTCCATGGCTTCTGTAGTAAGGATTATGTTATACATGCTGGAGGAACACAAATTATATGATATTATCAATATTGACTGATTTGATCTGCTAAATGATTTTAAACACGTTTCTTCTAATTTCTGCATGTGATTCAGGATTCAATTGAGAAGTTGAAAATTAGTTCTTAAATTTGTATTTTTATATTTTCTTCCTCTTAGATTTATTGTGGATGAATGGTTTTGTTTGCCTTTTTGTGGCTAGTTGTGTTTCCTGTCATCGTTTTTTTGGTTGATCAGCTGACTCTATTATAATCTTAATTCTTAAATTCAGAGCCCTGCATCTTCAGGAAGTGTTGGATCAGTTGATGACAGTTCTCCTAAATCTGTATGTTCATTTAACTTATTGGACGTTACCTCAGATTCAAAACAATCAGTCAAGACTTCCCATACCAAGTTGTCGTCTTTGCCTTCCGCATCAGAACTTTCAGTATCTGAGGACTCTGATGAGTTGGATCTTTTGAGTTCACCCTTATCATCATCTCAAGGATTACCGAGGCAAAAGTGGTGGAAATCTGTATATTCATTCAACTTCCTGGACGTTACCTCAGATTCAAAACAATCAGTCAGAACTTCCCATACCAAGTTGTCGTCTTTGCCTTCCGCATCAGAACTTTCAGTATCTGAGAACTCTGATGAGTTGGATCTTTTGAGTTCACCCTTATCATCATCTCAAGGATTACCGAGGCAAAAGTGGTGGAAAAGTTCACCCTTACCATCATCTCAAGGATTACCGAGGCGAAAGTGGTGGAAATCTGTATATTCATTCAACTTCCTGGACGTTACCTCGGATTCAAAACAATCAGCCAAGACTTCTCATACCAAGTTGTCGTCTTTGCCTTCTGCATCAGAACGTTCAGTATCTGAGGACTTTGATGGGTTGGATCTTTTGAGTTCACCCTCATCATCATCTCAAGGATCACCGAGGCAAAAGTGGTGGAAATGTGGATTTTGACTATACAAAATAATAAAAGCTTGTTTGGTAACACTAAAAATCCAATTAAAATTGAAAATATAGTCGTTATTGGGTCCCATCCGTCTAATAAAAGTCAACAATAACGGCAAATTTTTCAATTTTAATTCGATTTTAATCTCTACCAAACACGCTATATGTATCGTAGTATTTCGAGCCATGTTCATGTTGCAAGAATACTAGTCTATACTTTTGATTTATTTTGTGTTCAAGAACTCTTGTTGGAAATTGGATACCTTCACTATGTTTTTTATTCTTTTTTGTGGAAAAAGTCTCAGATATGGAATTGATGATGAAATTAGGGTTTTTCATTGAAACCCTATGTGTGACTTTTGTTTTGCTCTATTTCGATCAATCCAAACAAAATGTTAGTGTTGAGAAAATTAGGGTTGAAAATTCAAAAAGTAAGAACTGCGTATATAAATTAGTAAAAATGAGTTCAAATTCATTTACAATCTCACTCTCTCTAGAAGTAGCACAAAACAGATCAAACCTCATTTATTGAAACTATAATATTACAAGTAACATAAGATTCAAATTCAAACATAGAAAAAAGCTAAAAACTAATAATAATTTATATAATCCAAAAATAGGGGATCTCACTGCAATAATTTGAAACTTAAAGGACTATATCATAATTACAATCAAATATATTATTAATGATACTAGCCTACCAATCCAAAAACACAGCTCGTGTTACCCGTCAACCCCTTTTAAGCACAGTGTACAATCCAAAAATTCCAGTAGAACCGAATCCTTGCTGGCATTATCAATTTTAACGGCAATAATTGCCCAATTACTAAAATAAAATGTCAAAATTAAAAATTTGAAGTCCAAAATTGTAGAGAGAGAGAGGGGGGATTTGATTCAAGTTCGGTCTTTCCATTTCCGTGAAAGAAAACGAACTAAAACCCTAGAATTTTGAATCAATTAAGTTCTCTCCCTCAATATTTGAGCTGAAAAAACCTTTTTTAAATACGTTTTTGGGTAACTTAATTTTTTTCCCCTCTTTTGGGCTTGAATTTGGAGCTTGGGCTTTGGAATCTGGAAAATGAGCAGCAGAAAAGAAGAGGAGAGAAACGAGAAGATCATAAGGGGTCTCATGAAGCTCCCTCCGAATCGAAGATGCATCAACTGCAACAGCTTGGTAATAATATTAATTTGTTCCATTTTTTGAAATTTTGATTCAATATTTTGAAAAAGTTATACCTTCAATGAAAATCTCTATTAGATTGAGATATAGAAACTGTATTTGGAGCTGTTTGATTGCAAAAATTCAGCAATAAATTGGGCTTTTAAGAAAACATTAATCTCTTCTTGTTGTTTTTTAAAACAATACTGGAATAACAATTAATCTGATTAGCTTCTGTAGAAATGATTTTGTTACACACGCTGTAGTGCCTTGTACAATGCTAAAGAACCTAAAGTAATATATATGAGTCCTAATTTCTTTTTCGTTAAAATTTTAGGATTTATATAGCTTCAGATACTTGTTATTGGGATTAATGTTTTGAGTTGAATACTATTTTGTGGCTGCAGGGACCTCAATATGTTTGCACAAACTTTTGGACTTTTGTTTGCATGACTTGCAGTGGAATACAGTAAGTGCATTTTGCTCACCACCATTAAAGAGTATGCAATTCTGATATGTGCATACATTCATTTCCGTCAAAATTCAAGTAACCCATGTGGGGTATTGGGTATTCTATGTCATAACGTGACTACATGTCATATCTCCTTTGATCACTTCCTTGTGGTGTTCTTTAGATCAAATTTTTTCATCAGTTATCATTTTCTTTTGCTTAGTATATTGACGAAGAATATAATTTCAAGACATCAATATTAGAAAAATATTCTTGTTTGTGCAGTCGTGAGTTTACTCATCGCGTGAAGTCTGTTTCTATGGCTAAGTTTACTTCTCAAGAAGTGGATGCTCTTCAAAAGGGTGGTAATCAGGTAAGCAATTATGACATGTTTCCAATTTTTTCTCTGATAGGCACCTTGTTTTCCAGTTTGCTTACAAGGCATCACTCCTTCAGCGTGCCAGAGAGATATACTTAGCAGCCTGGGATCCACAAAGGCAGAGACTTCCTGATAATAGGTGCAAGATCTATTTTATGATCAGAAGTACCTGTCAATTGCATAACTGGAAGGTTAACCACGTCTTTCTCTTGCAGCAATGTTGATAAAGTTCGTGAGTTCATAAAGAATGTTTATGTAGATAAAAAATATGCCCTGGAGAAGACATCTGACAGACCACCAAGAGATACACAGGTTAGGTTCCTGGACCAGTGTGATCACTAAAGATGGTTCCAGAAAAGACGTTTATTAGGTTTACTTCTTTTGATTTATCCATGACAATTATTTCCACGCAACCTTAAATGGAGACTAAATTATGATCATACTCTGATTTGTCAGAACGCAAAACGCCAGGAAGATGAGACAAGGCGAGCAAGTTCATACCATTCTTATTCACAAAGTCCACCATATGATTTTCAGTATGAAGAACGACGCTATGGGAAACACACCCCCGGCCTCACTAGAAAGCCTGGGTCGGATCGAGGCCTATACGGAGGAAAACTGTCTAGTTTCTTGAGTCCTGGCCGTGCTAATGATAATGTATACGAGGACAGGTCTGATGTGCTATCACCTTCCTCCCAGAAAGACATTGGAAGCCCCGTCAATGCAACGTCGAGAGATAGTTCAAGTGAAGTTGTACGGCATCATGCGGTTTCCAACCATGTAGATGCATACACCAAAAGAGATGGAGGAAGAATGTTGCATCCACAGGTCAGGTTTCTCTCATGTCTGTGTGCATTCTGGTAAAACAGTGTGGTAAAACAGGGAGTTCCTTGGACCTTTTCTACCGGTATCGGTTTCTGGTATTTGTCTTTATTAAAATCAAGGATCAAATTGAGGGCATAACCTTGATTATGGAGTTCTTTGCTCTCTTATTCCTGTGTGCTTCAAAATTTGAAGAATTTGTGTTTTTCTTTCTGACTATTGGATGCACTAGGAATGCAATGCCAATTGTGGAATAAATAGCATGCCAACATTTCCCCACCCTTGGAAAAAAAAAAAGGAGCAGAGAAACAATGAGAAGGAAAAGGAAAAAAGTGGAAATGAAAATTTTCAAATCTTATCACTATAAAATTTAAATTTTCCTCTGTACAAGTATTGTTACCATCTTCTTAAAATTGCCTGATTCAATCTTCCAAGCGATGTTTTACCAGTTTTTTTAATTAAATTCCTGCACTTAAGTTGCGGTTCAATTCAGAAGACAATTTTGAAGTTTAAAATGATCTAAATTTTGTATTCTTTCTTTGTTTACCCTCATTTAGTTTGTGGATGTATGGACATTATCATTTAGAATTTCTGGTTGGCATACACCATTACTAGTGATATAAAAACGGTTTTTTTTTCTCCCCCATGAATTGCCCCTTCCTTGGTGCCTTACCTTGGTGCCTTATTAATATATCTTGTACTTTTGATTTTGTGGAAAAATAAGAAGATGGTTTCTAATTATGATGGTTACGAAATTAAAACTTTCAGTCATTAATACTTGAGAAATTGTGAGGTACATGATAATATTTTGCTTAATGATTATACAACAGCAAAAATTGTCATTTCATTAATCCAGTAACATAGATATGGTTTTCTTTAGCTGAGTCCTTGTCTCTAGTTCCTATGTTGACTGTGTCTTACTTGCTGGTCATTAATTTATCATGAAATTTTTGGATAGTTACTTTTACCTGTCATTGACTGTTTTACCTAATTTACTGACTCTATAATAATTTTAAATCCAGAGAAATGAATCTTCAGGAAGCTTTGGGTCATTTGATAGCAATTCCACGTCTTTCACATCAGTAAATTCTATTAACTTGCTGGAAATTGCCTCAGAATCCGGACAATCTGCTGAGACTTCTTATCAACCACAGCGTTCAGTATCTGGGAACTTTGATAGCTTGGATCTTTTCAGTGCACCCTTTGCACCACAAAATGTTACCTCAACATCTCCAGCAGCTGGTGGGACTCAATTTCCAGAGTCATCTCCAGCTCAATCCGTTGATTTGTTCCTGCAATCTTCTAATCCTTCAGTTCCAACTTTCAACTCACATCAACCATCCAAAGCCCTTCCTTCTTCTGGGAACTTTGATAGCTTGGATCTTTTCAGTGCACCCTTTGCACCACAAAATGTTACCTCAACATCTCCAGCAGCTGGTAGGACTCAATTTCCAGAGTCATCTCCAGCTCAATCCGTTGATTTGTTCCCACAATCTTCTAATCCTTCAGTTCCAACTTTCAACTCACATCAACCATCCAAAACCCTTCCTTCTTCTTCTTTAGACTTACTTGCTGAGATGCCTCAGCAGCAAACCTCTACAGGTTCCAATGGAAAAATCTCTGAGGGAATGCCAAAAAATGAAGGATGGGCAACATTTGACATGCCTCGGAACGCATCATCTATGGGAATTGAAAATTCGACCCCTGCCATAGTACCATCTTCTGACATGAGTTTTCTAGGGAACATAGATTTGGGATCGCTTGAGCATAATCCATCCTCTCAAGATTCTTCTGACCATCGGCCTTCTGCAGATATGTCTAATTTATGGCATGAACGTGCACAAAATTTTGAGGCAACCACAAAAGCAACGAGCATTCAAGTAAACACTATTCTGTCGGCTTGTGTGTACAAGAAGATAACTGAGTTTGGCCTTAGCCAGACAATTTGGTTGTAGCATATATGACCAGGGGAACATGAACTTGATTCTGTTTATATTCAATGATCTTATATGTATATGGAAGTTATATGTTTTTAATGTTGTGCAGTCTTGGAATGCGTTCGAAGATTCCAAAGGAGAACAGTCGATTGAGAACACTGTCAAAAGTACCGAACCAGTCACGAGCCCATATACTTCAGATGCTTATCAGTGTCTTGGATTTAGCATATACGAGGTTGCGATATCTTCCTGTTAATGCTGTTGAATATGTTGCTCTTCTTGCACTTAGTTGCATGCTTTTTTTGTTTGCAGGCCTTGGGTAATGATATATTTCAAAGAGCTGCAGACAATACTGGACACCCCTTATCTAGTATAACATCTCATGCCAGTGTATTGTCGCATGATTTCCACTCGCTTCCTGCAGTGGTTTGTTCTATTACTTTGGTTGAGCCTTCTTGCACTAATGACTAATTTTTCATTTAAATTAGTGTTCACTCCTTTCATTTATGATATGTTCCCACTCTGTTTATAGGATCTAGTACATTCAAACGTGACAAATCACAGGTCTTCCAATCCATTTGATCTTCCCGATGATTCTGACATGGAATCTAGTAATATGGTATGTCTTATTTACCTCTTTATGCTTTGTTCCTGCGATAAATGACTTGCCTAGATCTAAGGATAAGTGGTCTGGAGGCCTTTTTTTTTTAAGTAAAGAAAAGGAGTGGGCTTTTGATTTATGTTACTTACTTGGGTCACAAAATGACTAAACACTGACTTTTGCTGCGTTATGGATGTTTTACTTTGTTTATTCTTGATGGATACATGACAAACTGTTATTTAGATTAGTTGTTCAATTTTCAATTCAGAGCTGCTAACTAGATCATATTGTAAATGCTTTTGGAGAGCATATACCTTTGTTAGACGGATAAATCCTATGATCTTTGTATGTGTGGTGCACTCCTAGGGTGTCAATTAATAGAAAGTTCATTTACAAACAAATTAGTAGAGTACTTGTTGATTGCCTTTAGCTTGTAGGCATGTCTGTGTCCCAGACATATCCAGGGCATGGACTTGTGACCCTAAGAGGTGTATCCATGCTTCCTTGATTTTGTTATGAACTCAATAATAGGATGTACCATGTGCTTGGTTGAAAAAAAGTTGGATCTAGGTGCTTTACTCTGTTGTTACATTGGTTACCTGGCATCCGTTTGACCTTTATATTTTCAAGAGTGAGGGATGTGGTGGTGTAGGAAGGAAGAGGCATTCTTGTCATCATTTATTAAGTTGCGTTTAACTGGAACTTGCTTATCATGATAGTAACAATATTCTTCAAGATAGATTGGTTTAAAATGTGGAAATGTTAAGTTGTTTCTCACTTTCTGGAGAGAACTGAGTGTGACGCTGATTTGTTTCTTTTTATTTTTTTGTACAATCGTCTTGTATTAATCAAGATCATAAAATGTGGATATTTTGTTGTAGTTAAAGAGAATTATTGATATTCAGTGAATTGTTTCTAATTTTGATGATTCACTTTTAGTCTCAGTTCTGGAACATGAACTCTTTGCAATCGGCACTTCCAAATAGCAGTTTACCAACTTCCTTTGTTGGTGGCGTAACTCAGTCTTGGTTTCCCCAAAATCCAGTTACATGCTATGTTCCTGGTGGAGTGATATTTGATCCTCCCATTGGTACTTCATTTTCATTTGACTATCATCTTCTTCAAGGAAAGTTTTTTTATTTTATCATTGTGTGTCCTTTCTGATGGTGGTTTACCCTGCAGGCTCATTGGGATTTATTGCAGGACAAGCACCGAGCAGCCAGATACCGTATGTTCTCTTTCTGTCTTTTTCCCTATTGACTGGTTTTATGTTTGTTGATTATATCTATGTTATAATCTGTTTGTCGCTTGTTTCTTTTGTGGTTGGCCTTAGAGTTGAAGCTATATAAAGCTTTCTAAAATATGTCAAAAACGTTTGACTTATAAGGTTACATGGAATTTATTGATTATGGTCTGATGCCTTTGATTCACAATGGGCTGATGAGTGATGAATATTACACCAAAAAGTTCTCGATTTCTGATTGCGATGAACATTATTTAATTATTTATTTACTCTTGTATCAATTCCGTTATAAATTTCAAACAAACTACCGCATTTTTTCCTTGTCCTGGCGGAGTTTGGAAATTTAGATAGTTCCTGCATACTATTAGTTTGTGAATTCTTTTCATACTCCTCAACTTTGGTTGCTGAAATGGAATATAATATAGATAAAGAGAGAACCAGATCTCGAAAACTCAAACTAAGAGAAAAGATCAGGAAAGAAAATTAGATTGGAAGAGGGAATTTTAATTAACCTGCAAGTTGTTCAGCGATAAGGTGGGAGAAATAAAAAACTGTAATTTGGGTGATGATATGTGTCATTCAAATGCTTAAATTGTGAATTTCTTATATAAAATACCTTAACGAACCGGATTCTGGATTCAAGTAATTGCCTTTGTATACTGCTTGATGATAAATCATAATCATCCACAATCATTTGTTTGGTATTCTTGCAGGAATGTCCCGGCACAAGGCCATGTTGCATCTATTGGAGGAAATCCATTTGCATAGGATTCAAACGTGTTTATTGAACTTTTCTAGCCCATCTTTGCATTTCTCTTCGTGGACTCCAAACTGACAGAGCTCTTCATCTATATGGCTTTCACATTCTTTGCAAAATGAGTCCTGGCTTTGAAAATCCTGTGTAGTTCGTGATTACCAGTCGAACTCCTGGGATTTATATTATTACCATGATGTTACAATTCCAACTGAGAGTGTAATTGTCGGAGCTTGAATTGGATTGTAGAATTATAATAGTAGGGATTTCTTCAACATTCACTATAGTGCGCACATTCTTGAATCGCTTAGTTATGTAATAGTTATTGTTTTGGGAGCCCCTGGTTTGTGTGATCGATACTTTTGTGAGCTTATCTTTGTTTTCGACAGAGATTTTTCATTTCTCTTGTTATTTATTATAAACTTTTGTGAGCTTATCTTTGTTTTTGAGAGAGATTTTTCATTTCTCTTGTTATTTATTATAGTAGTTGATTGATCCAGAGTTTGTCACATTGTTGAATTACATAAATCTTGTGTTCTTTCTTATCTTTATTTACACGAAAGTGAGAGTTCCTCAAGTTTGTCAATTCCACAAATTTGTTGTGCGTAGTTTTTTTGCTAATACTTTGATTATATCTTAGGTACAACTGAGCAAACAGAGTGGTGAATTGAATTGGACCGATCGATATTGTAACCCTAATAGTCAAAAGAACTCTAATATTTATATGTGCATAAATGAACGTAATAAATGAATTGAGTGGATTACTGGATTGACTCCTCACAATAGTCACCTTTATTACACCTCAACTACAAGGTTCTAAAGGTTCGACGGAGTGTATATATAGATAAAGTTATAGGCTCGTTATTTGCTAGACAAGAAATTTTGCAGCCATTAGAGATTACAAGAAGCCTTTCTGGGTAATTAGCACATAACGTTCCCATCTTTCACTGTTATTGTGGAAAAAATCCATACCTTTCATTTTTTGGTATTTTCATCTTTTATTGCACAAAATGTCGTTTTTTATCCATTTTCTCAATTAAAAATTGTGAAATGACGAAAATATCCTTCCATTTAAATAAAATAAAAGGAAAAAGAAAAAAATTAATTGCAAACATAGTTCCAACTTTTTTGAAAAGCTCAAATGAGTCCCAAATAAATTACTAAAATGATAACTGGCACATAATATCCCCACATTTCACTATTATTGCGAACAATATCCATACCTTTTATTTTTTTGACATTTTCTTCCTTAATCATAATTTGATGGCGCAAACCATCATTTCTATCCATTTTCATCCAATTTTTCAATAAAAAACTATGGAATGACGAATATAACATCATATTTAAATAAAAAAGCTAAAGAATTAATTGCAACAATTGTTTCAATTTTTTAAAAAAGTGCAATCGAGTCCCCAATAAATTATTAACAAAATTAATTTTTTTATGAAAAGTGCAAATGAGTCCCAAATAAATTATTAAAGCATTAGAAATTAAAAAATATATATTTTTATTTGAATATGAGGGTATATTCATTATTTCACAATTCTTTATTGAGAAAATTGATAGAAATAATAGTTTGTGCTATTAAAATATAATTAAGGGAGAAAATGCCAAAGAAATAAAAGGTATGGATGTTTTTCGCAATAATAGTGAAAGGTAGGAATATTGTGTTCTAATTACCCTTTTAATAATTTATTTGAAACTCATTTGAGCTTTTCAAAAAAGTTTGGACTGTGTTTGCAATTAGTTTTTGTCTTTTTTTTTTTCTTTTGTTCTATTTAAAGGAAATTGCATTTGCTTCATTTCGCAATTTTTAATGAGAAAATGGATGAAAATAAACTTTTGCACAATGAAAGATGAAAATTAGGGTGAAATTGCCAAAAATAAAATAAAAAGTATGAACGTTTTCCACAATAATAATGAAATATGAGGACGTCATGTGACTATTCCACTTCTACTATTTGAAATAAATATTATGCTAGATATACACAATTATTTATACACTGAATTATACCCCTCACGTGGAGGGGGCTTACACACAATAAAATATGCGTGGGCTCCCCTTCATATGGGGGGAGAGGGTGTAACTCTGTGTGTAAACCACCGGGTATACATACATGGTCGCGCAATTCGTACGAAGTAGCTTTACAAAGTGACGTGACATGAAAAAAAATTTGAAAACTAGAAACCCCACCTCCCTTTTCTCTTTCTCCACATTTCCCTGTTATTTTCCCCCAAATCAACTGAAAGAAACCCTTCCTCCCAAACTCACAACCCTCCCACAGCCCGTGAACTCTAGCACCTCCCGCGTCATCCCAACCTCCAGCAGCCATACAACTCCAGCACCCTGGTTTGGCACAGCTCCGCACCTTTTTCAAACCGAACGCCGTATAAAAAACGGTCTCATTCCACCACAAAATCAATCAACATCATCTCGGAACCGTTCTATTACTGGTAACTTGTGATATTGACATGAAATATGTTGGTTTTATAGGTTTATGTTTTAATTTATGAAGATATATAAGGATGGGTGACTAGACATGGTCTTTCACAGTTTGGTAAATTGTTTTTACCCAAATTGAAAGTAAAAATTTCACAAGCTTGCATTGACTTTGCGGTTTAGGGTTTAGGTCGGTCTCCTCCTCTAAACTATGCACATTCAACATAGATGGTGAAATTTTCGATTTTGAAGTCGAACGTAGATGCTGATTTTTCAGTTTGCGGTAGGCTAAGGGCTAGTTTGTTTACACTTCGGTCCACCCCTATTGTAGATTAGTTAATTCTTTCACGGTTTAGGGTATATTTGCATGATTTGGTAAAATTTATAGTCTCTGTTTCGGTTTTTCAGTTGAACTTAGATGCTGATTTTCGAGTTTTAACATTGAGCTTAGATGCTGGAGTTTCGGTTTTTCAGTTGAGCTTGGATGTTGATTTCTCAGTTTCAACATTTAACTTAGATGCTGAATTTTTTGGTTTTGTCAGTTTAACTTAGATGCTGAGTTTTCACTTTAACATTTAACTAAAGTGCTGATTTTCCAATTTAACATTTAACCTAGATGCTGAAGATTTTCAATTGAATCTAGTTTAACTTAGATGCTGGTTTTTCAGTTTAACATATAACTTAGATGCTGATTTTATTATTTTGACATTTGGTAGACATGAATGTGAATTAATTTGTTTCAGGAACATAGAATGTTGGGAAAAAACTCCGAGGTTTGTCATGGTTGTAGGAGTGTTGGACACTTCTTCAGTGATTGCCCGATAAAACGTCGATGTCCACTTTGTGTGCATGGATTTCAAAAGTTTTTCGAGGTTGAAAAGGACACTGTTAACAAAGGTAAAATCTTCAAATGTTGCACTGTGAAGTGTGGCTTTTGGGATTGGTGCAAAGATGGAGAAGTAAACGATGAATCTAGCGGTACTAGGGCTAAACCACAAGCGGATGAAGAAGTTGAAGATATATCATGAATGTTCCAATCTCAAGTTCGGCTGAATAACAAAGAAGAGCTATTGATGACTGTGACCGTGAATGTGATGGTCCGCCGAACTTGATTAGTTGTTTACGGTGAACTAGTCATGTGTTGTTAATAGAGGGATTTTGTAAATTTGAAATTGGTCGGCTAGTTTAGTGCAGTCAATTGGTACATTTTGGTTGAAGTAAAATTTTTTACTTCTTGTACCTTGGACGTTGTTGAAATTATAATATTCTCAGTTTGGTGAATGCTTGATTTACTCATCCTAGTAGACTAATTAGCAATAAATTTTGTACAGTCACCAAAACATAATCTATTTTTGTTGAAGAACTTGCTACTCCTGTGCACTAAAATTATTATTGTCCTAGTTAATTTGAATCTCAATTTGTTAACAAATCTATTTTAGCAACCTTGAAATAGGTTCAAAATAAAATCCAAAAAAATTAAAAAATAAATCCAACTTATCAACTTGTTTGTTAAATTATATTGCAATACAAATTTAGAAAAGAGGTTCAATGGCCCGAGTCTTCAGATGACGCAAACATACATCTTATATTCATAAAGAACTTGACGAAATACTCATATGAATTCCATACATAGAAAGCACATCCCCAAATGAACAATTACAAACATGAAATGAAAATCTACAAGTCCCCCGAATCTGCCTTGTCATGATGAAGCTCTCCTGGGAAAAGGCTGCTTGCAATAACATGTTAATTTTTATTGTCATGATGTTGTTCACCTCCATTTAAAAGGAGTCATGATGATGTCGTAAATATGAATCGTTGTATGGGTTCTCATTTCCTAACATGTGAATTGAAAGTAATAAGAGTTGATTAGTTGTCAATTGTACGTTGGGCGATTAAAACATATAAGCACCTTGTGAATTTGGAAAAACATATGTCGTAGTCTGGATGAATGTGGACGACAGCATTTGTTGTGTGAACACCTAGCTCATACCATGACCCTACATCATCATGTTGGCATTACTTATAAACAAAGTGCATAAAAACCTGATTATTTAAAAAACGTGAATTTAATATACCTACGATTAGGAGTTGTGAAAACGAGTATTGGCACTGGCACTGGCATTGGGATTAAATGATGTTGTTGAGGAGGTGGCGGAACCTTTCCTGCTATGCTCTTTGATCATTTTTGCATACACACTAGAATTTTTTTTATTACTGTATTGATGTTTGTTGACTAAAAATAATTTTTATTCATAGGAATATACCTTTGACTTCTTAGCTCTCGCCTCCAATGGGCCTTTTCTCCGCAATTTCTTCGGGGCTCCCTTTTTTTTCGACGATATAGTGTCTTTGATAGTCTCGTTGCTTTGATTTTAAGATGCAATAAGCTGCAAATTTGTATTACTATCGGAACTCGACTTCGTCAACCTAAGCTCTTTATTTTCAAGTTGTATCCAATCCATGATATCACAATACCTCCCTTCATCATCCGCAGCAAGGTCTGCCACAGTGGCAAATACCTGACACATCTCGTCTACCTTAATTGTCCAGGGGTACTAACCATACCGACAT